GTACAAAACGTTCTTTATATTTATCATACGTTTACAGTTTATTTGTTTAAAAGACTGTTATCCAAGCAAAATGTGAAGATCTTTCCAGTGCTTTCCTAAAAAGGAAGGATGACGCAATTTCCGGTTGCCATCTTTGATTGGGTTTAAAAATGTTTGAAATGTGTTATTAGTTAACGTCCTCTTATCTATCCTAAATAAATAAGACTGTCAGTTTAATAAGCAAAGTGTTTGTTTTAACAGAAAGTGACGCTCTTTGATCAACTTTGACACGTTTTTAATCAAGTTTGCTTCATTTTTATTCACGTTGTTAAACTTTTTGCTCCTTTTTTTTCTGACCCATGCAGTTTTAGCAGCTAATTCACCTTCAGCTTTGTAAAAAGTGACAAAGGCCACTCCGTCCATGCTGGTCGGGTATTTGACCTCCTCCACGTCCCCTCCGTCGCTCCTCCGGACCCTCTGGAAGTGGACGGTCAGCTTGTCGACCATCCTGTCGRGCGGCAGCGCGGCGGGCACMCCGGACACGATCACCGTCCTGCTGCGGCTCTCCATGCTGACCCGCGGCGGTCCGGCAGTCCGGRGAACATCACGGCTCCATGGTTACCCGCCTGTTTTCTTTGTACCTGCCTGCCGTTGCTAGAAACTCACAGCAGCCAAGTTTCACTTTGACTTCCCCCGGAGCTGCAGGTTTAACCCGCTGCAGTACCGAGACCTGTCCACCAGGTGTCGCTGTTTACCTGCAACTGAACTGCTCAGAGTTGTGGGAATTTCCAGTCTTTCTCAGGATTCGACCTTTAGTTCACCAACTAGCACGTGTCCCCCCCCCTCCCCCCCAAATTAATTTGTGTGTTTTCATACAACAGTAACCATAAGTTTTCTGAAAAATATTATTTTGACCTTATATAGCTGATGCCTCTCAGCAAGAAGGTCACCGGTTCAAATCCCGGTCCGGGGACCTTTCTGGGTAGAGTTTGCATGTTCTCTCCGGGTACTCCGGTTTCCTCCCACAGACCAAAAACATGACTGTTAGGTTAATTGATAACTCTAAATTGTCCCTAGGTGTGTGTGAGAGAGTGAATGGTTGTTTGTCTCGTTTGTCTCTATGTGTGTCCCTGTGATGGACTTGTGACCTGTCCAGGGTGTACCCCGCCCCTCGCACTGTGACTGCTGGATATGGGCACCAGTGACCCACGCAACCCTGAAAAGGAAGAAGTGTGTACAGAAAATGGATGGATGGATATAATATATATAATAAAATTACTGACTCCTGTCTGTTCTGGGTTAGCATCTGGATCACATAGGAACTAGAGGAGTGGTTCCCAAATTTGGGGTCAAGACCCACTGTGGGCCCTGAAACATCAAGGTGTGGTCTTGAAAGTATTTTCTGACTAAGAACAATTATTGTTTGCCTTATTTGTTCCAAGAGTGAGGGTACCTAAACCTGGATGAAATTAGCATAGTGAAAAGGGGTGTACAGTAAATCACCAGCTTTATCTCCATACAATATTACATCGATATGTTTGGATGACGATTCGATCACAAAGTCGGTCACAATGATTTTTGATTCAATCCAACTCACGTCTGTGATTGATATGTGATATCATATGCCCATCTAACACAATGACTGTTAGTTGGGCATATATCGATTCACAACGAGCATATGATGATATAGATCGATTTTCATTTTGCCTCGATTTAACTGAATTCAAATTGACATATCAATAATCAATATACACCCCTAATCACTACTATGCCCTTACTTATTTTACTGGCCTGAGACCAATGTTTATCAGTCTAATGGTTGGTGGCACAGGTCTCTGATGATGTTACCGTTTGTGGGTCAAAAGCTGAAAAGTTTGGAAACTACTGGTTTAGTTGTGTTCATGTCTGCCATTCATTTCCAGGTGTTCTTYGATCTGCCTCTCGTCTTCAGGTGCTCAGTGTGGGATTGTTCCTGAGCATGTGTCGAATCCACAAACATTGTGTGATGAAGTGACAATTTGTTAAGACTCTGATTCAYTGAACGTAGCTGTGATGTAAAGACTTACGAAAACAGGGACAATCAACACCTTCAAGTAAAAAAAAAAAGCTAAAACAGACGAGTGACGTTTCTTTGTTGAGAATTAAACCCTTGAAATCCTGTTAATGGGAAATGCCCTGTTGTGTTTTTGAAATCAGAGTATGTGCAATATGTGAGGCTTTAGGCCCCGCCTACACCCCAGTCACATCAACAGAAGCAGAGATTCAAAGGTGGATATTAAAAAACTAAACTAAAAATCATTTGAACAAACATCAACAAGGATCAAAAGCTGAAAAAAATGTAAAAATTAAAGCGTCATTTTTTTTGATGTTCACCTACACAGAAGTGGGTGGAGCTTAAACTCATTCTAAAACTGCAAGCAACAGATGTATAAAACTACACCTCTGATTTGTGACTCCTGCTGGTGGTGACATGTTTGAGCAGAGGTTGGAGCCTCTCAGTGAAGACAGTCACAAGTTCGCTTCCTGGCCTTTAGCCTTTCATAATAGTTTACATAATTTACATATTCTTTCTGTGCAGCTATGGGTTTTCTCCTGACCCAAAGCAAGCATCTTACATTTTCTAACTCAGGGTAGCTAATTGTTGCTGAGTGAGCAACAATTACAGCACTCTGAGCTTGTATCCCTGTGATAAACTGGAGGCTTGTCTCTCACACAGTGACCCAGAGACAAGCAGGTACAGAAAACTGAATTAACTTTTGTCTCCAGAGTTATTACCCCTTATGTGGTCAAATATTGCTTTTATTTAATGTCTAAAATGTCTAAAATACACAAGATAATTTTGGCTTCAACTGTGGACCTGGATGTGTCCAGTTCTGTTTACATCCTACAGCACAAAATCAAATCTGCCTCGGTCCAGGCTGACACAGCAGCAGCTGGACACCCGGAGGCAAACCTCCATCCTCCTCCAGCGCCGCCTCCATCTGGTCCTGGTCAGAACCTCAGGATGAAGCCGTTGACAAAGTGTGGTGCAAACATTTATTAATATCAAACCCCCAAAAAGAAATGAAAAGATGAAAACAGGAGTCTGAACACAGTGAGGAACTCGTGTGCATTTGTCTTGTGCATATAAACATTTTTAATTTCTGATATAAAAGAAAGCGGCCGGGCCGAGTGCAACAAACATGTAGGTCTGAAGGCTGAATCTGAGAGGATCAGAAACCCGTCRAACCTCCGTCTCCTCCAACATTTCAGTGCAAACGCAACATTCACTGTGTTTAAATAATTCAGGTAGTAGATCCATTATTCAGTGTTTGGAACTGTACAGGCTCAGACTGAACGCACGCAGCTGCAGAGCTGTGGAGATAAATGCTACCCGGTTTGGTGAGCCCAAATGAAACAACGCTCAACTTAAAGGCAGGTTTTATTTATAAAAAAAAAAAAAAAACCTTGCGGGTCCGACGCCTGCTCAAAGCTTCCCAAWAACAACAACAACAAAAAAATGGTTGTAGAACTGAGCAGGAGTTCAGCACAGACCTGAAGATCTGCCAACAGAAAAAAACTAAAAGTAAAACTAACTTAAAGTCACTTTTCAGGGTTTGGATGCGGTCCAGCAAAGGACGGATGAGTCCCGAGTCGCACAGCTCCTCCGGGTTCGCCTGGCCAAGACGGACTGTGATGAGGCCAGGTGTACCCCTGCCCCCCCCCAAACTCCCAGAGGAGCACCTCCAGTCGAGTTGGATCAGTTCTCCCTGCCCTGATCCCCTCCGGACCACGTTTGTCTCACTGCAGAAAAAAAAAAGACAGAGTCTGAGCAGCCGAGAAACACAAAACAAAGTTACCACAGGTGAAAAACAACAACAACAAAAAAAAAAACAAAGAGGTACCGGCGGGAGGCTGGGAGGAACTTTTGGCGCAGAGCGGCTCAGACTTATCTGAAACTGAAACCTGGAGCCGAGGGACAAGACTGTTCAGTCCTGAGGTTCTCACCTAACGATCCGGTTTTCTGCCAGACTCTAGCCTCCAGTGTAAACAAACAAACAACAGACTCCTGTGTGTCGTTTATTAAAGAAAATCACAAAAGATGTCAGCACCATGAAGACTGGACCAAGCCTGGTCATAAAAAAAAAACACATCTGCTAATCTGTGGCAGAGGGGTCAGGGAGTCATCCTGGAACCGGTAGGTTGCTGGTTTAATGCCCCGTCCCAGCTATCCCAGTCGTTGTCTTTGGGCAAGACACTGCACCCAGTGATGGTGATCAGATGGCATGGCAGGTACCTGTGAGGTTAATTTTAGGGTAAACAGTCAGGGTTAAGATTTAAAGTCTAAAAAATGAATGGAAGTCAATGGAAGGTCCCCACGGGGTTCAAGAACAAACGTGTGTGTGTGTGTGTGTGTGTGTGTGTGTGTGTGTGTGTGTGTGTGTATACAGGTGTAAAGCGGTCTGGAGTCTGTGTGGACTTAAAGCACTCAGTTCAAGYCATTTATCATTTAATCTACAACAGAACGGGTCAAAATGCAAACTGCTGTGTCGTTGCAACAACCCAGAACCTGAATGAAACTATAAGGAACAACAATGTAAAGCAGAGTGGGACAAAACTCAACAACCATGCAGAAAACAACTTCCAGTTATTACTGCTGGATCACGATGTGGCTTTTATTTTTCTTTATTCAAAGTGGTGAAATCTTGTGTTTTTGGTCACTTGATGTTGATTTATTGAGCTTAGAAATGAGTAAAAAACTAGTTATTATGTTTGATGTATAAATTTAAAAGAGTGGACTTTTTTCTGTACTAATATGAAGGGCTAAAGCAAAGAAAAGAAAAGAAAAAAGGAGCTGTTGACACACAACTAGTATTTAAATAATGTTCTCTAATGAAGCGTTATATGAAGGATTGGACCTGAAACTTTTAGATCCTCGTGATCAAAGGGATTTGTAAGGATGAGGATGATTTTGAGTTCACGTTTGTCATTTCAGTGTTTTCATTCAAAAAAAAACATTTTTATGAGACTTGAGTCTGATATAGTCATACAAAAAAACGATTAACAAAGACTAATCATTGCTTTGATACGGGACAAACAGAAACAGTGCACGTTGCAGTGCTCTCTCGTGAGGAGAGAGGAGTTGGGTCATGTGAGCAAAGTAGGACGTATCTGTTCGATAACAACTCTCTGAACACAAACATTTAATGTAATGTTTGGTTTTAGAGACCAAAGTCCTGGGTAGACTGGGAGTGAGGTGTGGGAGGAGGAGCTGCAGGGTGGTCAGTGTTTCACCTGGTCTCACTGTGTATTAGAAAGGCCCGCCCCCGCTCTGCTCTGATTGGATAAAACTCTGGAATTTGTTTGACTTGTTGAAAGCAGCGTCACTTTAATCCTGCAGCATTCGTTTGGACGGCCCTTAATGAGACCGCAACAGAAAACAACCAGAGGTTTTGAAATGTTTTCCTCAGTTTTACAAATGGAGGAAATCCGTTGTAACGTTGAAGAGCCCATGTAAAATATATAAAAATAAAWAAAAAAGTGTTGTGAAAACAAGCTGATGAACTGTTGATGTCATTTCAAATATTTGGCACATTTCTGCCGCGGGGCTGCAGGTTCTACTGTTTGTAATTCTGTTCACAGACAGATGATTTTGCTTCCTACAACCCCGTGACTCAGAGTTTAACCCGACACAAACAAACGTTAACACGGATCGCTCCTTTAAATCACATCAGCTGCATTCATGGTGAATGACAGCTGGAGCCCCRCCTCCCCTCAGCCTCTTCCTGTCACCTGCTTCACCTACACTCAGATCTGACGACAGCGGTTTCCTGTTGGCCTTCCTGCCGTGGCGCCAAACTCCCAGAGGACCCTGGGGAGGCAGAGAGGGGAGTGGGTTAGGGGGCGGGCAGGTTTACAGAGAGCGTTGGAGACAACATGTGTGGAAGACCCACCTGGTGTTTCATGTGCGCGGCGTGGATCAGCGGCGGTCCRATGGAGGGTTTGTACGGCAGAGGCTGGCCCAGGAGAGAGTAGTGAGCTTCACCTGGAAGACACAAACCAGAAACGTGACGTTAGAAGAGATTCAAACACCTGAGATCAGACGATGGGGGAGGTGGGGTCCGACCTTGTCCACTGTGGCAGAAGGCTGTAGGGAGCGGCGGGCGGTACTGCAGGACAGGGATGGGCGAGACGCCTGGTGGGAGGCCCTTGATGACGGCGGGCGGCTGGCAGGGCGAGGGAGTGAGTGCCGGCGACGACCGGCTGCTCTACACACAACACGCCGCCGAAGCAGACAAACAGGAAGACAAACGGGAGAAAAAAGAAAAAAAAAACTTTCAGAAAGTCATTCTGCTCTTCAACTCATCGCTTTAATGTCCCACATTAGCTGCACTAATGTACCATTACACCCCGACCAAAAGGACTATTTGCTCCTCATTTCAGGGGAAGGGGGGCGGCTTCATTTGCCGAGCCTATTTACGGCGACATTTAACCTGCGCGGAACGGCGGGAAAAAGCTGAGTCTGGGCTCAAGGCGACAATTCTGGAATCGCTGTCAGACTCACGCAACCAAAGTAAATTAGCTTTTAAATTGCTTCCTTTGACAGTCTTAAATTCGCCCTGAGAGGAGAAAAAAACCCCTCCCATTTTCAGGTCGTTTGCAGTCAGAGGCGTCGGCGCAGCCAGGCTAATTAAACGCCGTCAGGTGTGTGTGTGTGTGTGTGTGTGTGTGTGGAGGACGCAGGGCTGCGTTTGTACCTGGCTGTTGTCCGGAGTTGGGGGGAGGAGCTCGGCAGGCCTGCGGCTGCGCTGGTGCTCAGTGTGTTTGTGGCTCGTCTGTTTCCTCTGGCAGGGGGAGGGGGCCCGGGGCTGCTGGCAGGGGGGCGCCGCCATCTGCAGCATCACCACGCCACCGCCGCTGGGCCCCGGTGGYAACAGCCCTGAGAGCGAGCAAAACAAAACTGGTTACCGTTGATACAAAGAAAAGCTTGTTACTCATGTAAATNGCCCCTTTTTGTTCACCTCATCAGTGAAAAACATTTAGCTGCTGATTAGAAGAGCAGCAACAACGACTTCCTCTTTTCCTGAAAAATCCTCGGCAATAATCCAGGAGATCCAATTATCTAATTACACATGAAAGCCACTCAAAATACATTTTGATTTAATTAATATCTGTTTACTTTGAGCTCACGCAGCAGAGAGTGCTGGGGAGGGGAGGGGAGGGGGGGTTATTTAGTAAAGTTTACTCAGCCTTCATCACCACTGATTCATAAACCAGTGAGGACGACCAATATTTGGATGTAATTTCATAGATTATTCCCGGCTCCAATTAAAAAAAGAAAGTGTTTACTGGTCGACGCCTCAGCTGACCTCATCAATGACAGCTGGGAAACAGCCATCCCATAATAATCAGACACGAATGATAAAAGTGAGAAGACTTTATGGCTAAAAGAAAAAAAAATTATATGAAAAAACAAATAAAACAAGCGGGGCCGACTTTGACGCAGGTTATTAAGGCAGTAAATTATAAATTTATTTAACAGTTCAGGCTGTGACTCAAACCAACCACAGGGGGGCACTGTGACCAAATAAAAGAAGAAATTCTTTTTAAATTTTAAGAAAAAAGATTCACACCAAAACTATTTTTTCCAGAGTTTAACGCTGATAAATATAAGAAAAAAAGTGAAACAAAGACATTAAACAAAAACCAGATCAAAAAGRCTCGCTCTTTTTTTATGTGGACGCAGATCATTAATGTGCGTAAAAATCTGAGAGGAGCTAACAAACCTTTTCAAACTGTCATTTTGTTACAGCAGCTGTTTTTTTACTAATGAATCATGTTGTGTTTACAAATGAAACATAATAAATAGTTGTTAAAAATGGTTAAAGCTAACAACGAGGAGACATGGGATCTTTATTGTTATGCTGATGACACCCAGATATATTTGCCACTACAATAGAAGGATTGCTTCTATGTTCAGTTGTTTATGTTGTGTCTTGTAGACATGAAAGCTCAGATTTTCCTAAATTTTCAACAAGAGGAGAACTGAAGCGATGGTGTTTGGTCACTAACTGGACTCTGTAGGTCTGACTTTCTCTATGGGCTGTCCAAGAATTCATTTGTTTTTATAAGTTTAAATATCTGTGCCTTGGAGGTACAGAGGTCCAAACAGCGCCTCTTTTACTCCTCGTCTTGCTTTTGTTTATTTTACTTGTTTTGTTTTTATTGCTTTTTATTCTTTTAACTTTCTTTGGTTTTACATTTTCAGCACTTGGTTGCAGCTGTGGTTGTTTTTGAGGTGCTGTAAGGAAGGAAATCATTTTAGAAAGTTGGATCGTTGTGGTTTAAAGGATATTTTATGTCTCATATTTTCTCCTCGTATCAACGGAATATTTCTCAGCTTCAGCTTTGTGGAGGATTTTCTTGCTCTCGCAGTTTTTCCACTGCTGCAAATTTGCTTTCACTTATTTTTATTTTGGGCTGACTCGACATGAGCGGAGGATTTGCGGCAGGTAACCAAATTGCCGTTTCATCTCCGTCCAGCTGCACGTGCCAATCACCTCCACGCCCTCCCACCTCTGAGGGGGGGGTGGGGGACTCACTTTCATTTTCAAGAATGCTGCAGCGCAGATCTAATTATGAGTCCAAACAAAGACGGGAGTCAGGCCCGGGGGAAAGATGATTTCATTATGGGATGCAGGAGTTGTGGCTGCAGAGGAACAATGTAACGTTGGTAGGTGAGGATGTTCTGTTGGGAGGTAGAAGTACCTGCGTACTGTTGGTGCTGCTGGGAGGTCGGAGGAAACTGGAGCGGCTCCATCATCGGAGCGGGCAGGAAGCTGACGGTCGAGCTGCAGAAAGACACAAAAAAAAGAAACCTTTAATCCCAGCGGAGCGCAGGCGCTTCGTCCTCACTCCTGGAAACTGGTCTAATCAATTAAAGAGACAATAAATTTAGCTTAAACGCTTAAAAAACAGCAGATCTGAGGGAGCTGAGAGCGCTCGCTGCTGCAGCCGAGTCTAAAACCCAAGAAGTCCATCTGCAGGGTCGGGCACGCCTGGAGGGACCGGTCTCCAGCTGGTGGACAATGAGCCCCTCGTGGGAAAAACACTGAGCTGCTGCTGCATAAATCATCTCAACACGGGACAGAAACTGACCTCTGAGCGTTCAGACTGACGAGTTAGCGAGGGACTAAATTAGATTTTTAGAAACTTGTTTAACAAGCACYGCTGGAAAAAGATGGAAAAAAAAGTGTCTGACGCTCCTCCAGGGAGCAACGAGGTCCAAATCGACCTGTTTCTTCAGAAACACTGAGGCGATATCATCTCAGTGGACAATGACCTCAGCTTTAGGACACTTTAGTTGGACGAGCTCCTAAAACCAAACAAACTGTTTACAGGAGGAAAACACAGATTGTAATCAGAGTACAACACTTCACGCTGCTTTCATCTAAACAGTCTTTGAGTGGAACTGAGGCGTTCAGTGGTGACACCGCGGTGTGGAGGCATACCTCATGGTGGTGTGCTGGGTGGGGGGCAGCAGGCCGTAGCACGGCTGCATGCCAGAAACAGCCACTGGACCCTGTCCTGGCTGGCAGGACATGAACACCGGCTGCTGGTATGTCTGCTGAGGGACAGAAACCTGCTGCAGAAAATTAAAAAATAAAAGAAATKAATTATTGTTTCTGATTGCTCTGTAATCCTTTTCCATTTAAACAGGTCAGATTTGATTTTTCCACTGCTGTTCACACATTTTTTTTGTTCTGTGACATGAAATAAAAATTAAACAACTAGCAGCCTTTTCTTTTGTGAGCAACAATGTCGTTCAGCACATTTCATTTAGAAGAGCTGAATGCCATTCTTCATTTTGGCACGGTGTACATTCATCTGACGCGTCACGGACATCAAAGTACCTGATAAGACGCCATTGGAGGGTACTGGACCATCATGCCTTGCATCTGGTTGGCCATATTGCTTTGCTGGTTGCCAGTGAGAACGAGGTTGGGTGTTGGCTGCACGCCCAATACGGTCTGGTAGCTGGATGCTGGGTTTGGCATCATGGCTTGGTGCACTGAGGGGGAAACAAGAAAGAGGAAAGACCAAAATTAATTGTAGCGGAACAAAAATACACTATTACAGATAATTAGTAATCTGAAATCTAATTTGTAATGTTTACTAAAAATCCCTGGTGCTTACCACAGACCCCTAGTACTTTCCATGGACTCCAAGAGCTTACCACAGACCACTTTTGTTTACCAAAGACCACTAGTTCTTACTACCATGTTTACATAGTTCTTACCACAGACCACTTTTGTTAAACAAAGACCACTAGTGCTTACTACCATGTTTACATAGTTCTTACCACAGACCCCTAGTGTGCCTATCATAGATCCCTAGTGCCTACCAAAAACCCCTATTACTAACCAAGGACTCCTAGAGCTTACCACAGACCACTATTGTTAATCAAAGACCCTTAGTGCTTACCATGGATTCTTAGGGTATACCATAGACCCTTAGTGCCTACCACAGACCCCTAGTGCCTACTAAAGGCCCCTAGTGTCTACCACAGACCCCTAGTGTCTACTACAGACCCCTAGTGCCTACTAAAGGCCCCTAGTGTCTACCACAGACCCCTAGTGCCTACTACAGACCCCTAGTGCCTACTACAGACCCCTAGTGCCTACTACAGACCCCTAGTGCCTACTACAGACCCCTAGTGTCTACTACAGACCCCTAGTGTCTACTACAGACCCCTAGAGCCTACTACAGAACCCTAGAGCCTACTACAGAACCCTAGAGCCTACTACAGACCCCTAGAGCCTACTACAGACCCCTAGAGCCTACTACAGACCCCTAGTGCCTACTTTAGACCCCTAGTGCCTACTACGGACCCCTAGTGTCTACCATGGATCCCTAGCGCCTACTACAGGCCCCTAGCACCTACTACAGGCCCCTAGGACCTACTACGGACCCCTAGTGTCTACCATGGATCCCTAGTGCATACAACAAACCCCTTGTGCCCAACATAGACCTCTGGAATTTACCACAGACTACTCGTGTTAATCAAGAACTCTTAGTTCTTACCACAAATCCAAAGGATTAACCAAGAATCCTTAGTGTTAATCAAGGACCCCTAGTACTTATAAAATACCCTTAGAGTCAACCAGTGACCCTAAAGTCAACCAAATACCCAAAAGTTATTTAGCCATGAATCCTTAGTATTAACCAAGATTCCCCATATTTTATTACAAATTCCTTGTTGTTCTTGGTGTTTATTTCAGCTTTCTAGTGTTTATTATAAATTCCTGGTGCTTATTAGATTTTCTAGAGTTCATTATGAATACAGCTTTTGATAGACATTCATTTAAAAACATGAAAGCAGCCTGAGGATACTTCAGTGTGAGAACAGAAGAAGTTATTGAGCTGTTACTGTTAAGCAGGTTGGGAATAAATGAGAAAGTCAATATATTTGATTTAGCCAGCAGTGGCCTGAACCTGCATCAGATGAGTCGAGCCAATCCTCCATGGGGAATTAAAAAAATAAAAAAATCTTCCCTTCAACAAGACAACTCATTCCAACAGTACTTATTAAAAACCTATTTGGAGCGGGTCGAAGACAGTGACGCACAAAAGGCGACACAAAGTCAAACACAAAATGGGCTAAAATGGTGATGCTTTTTTTTTTTTTAAACCGGAGGCTGGAGGTAATGTAAGATGCTCAAATGTCAAGGGGACAAAAAGAGACATTTAAAAAACATTTTTCTGCCACACACATTTGAAGCAATCCAGGTGACACAAAAAAGGACGTCCTTTTGTGAAGGTGTCTTTACAGTCCACCGCCCTGGGAGAAAAGTACAACGAGACAATGAAAGAGCCCTGCGAGGAACCGGGCCGACAGGACTATTTTTATCCAACCTTCACTCACAAACCAAGCATGAAATGACCAGAATATCAAAAGCCTCCTGTGTTATTCTTTTCCAGCAGGCAGCAGATGAGTCGAGGTTTCGACTTCTTTACCTTCACAAAACCCCAACTTCCACAGCCGATGATATGTTGTCAGTCCTCATCTCTTCTTTACTCGTGCCATTTGTCTTAAGGTTAAAAAAAGTTTCCTGTAGAGAAGTGAGGAGCTGGAAAAGAGACCGGTTCACTGTGAGATTCATAGAGGCCTCTCAGACAGCGTCCCGGCCCCGCATCCCGCCACCCAGGCTCCAGGGTGGTCTTCTTGGTCTTCAGATCATAGAGCTGAAGCAAAAAAGTTGTATAAAATCTCAAACCAGTTACAAAAAAACTTTAAAATCAGAAAACCGATGAGTAGAAGTAGACTGATTCATGTCGGCTGGTTTCTTAGGCCAATTTTTATAAAAAAAATTTAGCCGTAATTTCAGCTGGACACATTTTTGGGCAGCACATTATTTTGATGAGTTTTCTGTGACGGGTGGGCTTTTTTTTTGTACAACACCAGCAGACGCCAAAGAAAAAAAGCAAAAAAAAAATCTTTATATTTTATGGTAAAATAGAAAATGTAACGTTTTGGGAAAACTGCAYACACCTGCAGCTAGGGGTGGGCCAATACCAGTTTTTTCTCAAACTGAGTACAATTACCTCTGTTTGCATACTCGCTGATACCAAGTACTTACTGAGATAGAACATAAATTTTACACAAAGACTTAAAAACACATTTTTTTTATTTAGAACAAGGTGGCTCTCCTTTATCAGCCTACAGCCCCAAATATACAATAAATAAACCAAAAAAAACAAGGCTTGCTTTTAACTTGTATAAATTTCTTAAACACAGATTTCACAAAATCTTCACTTGGACCGCAAACTGTAACACAATCAACTGAGTATTCATACTAGTATTGGTCCCAARTATTGGGGCACTTTGTACAAGTACTTGCAAAAACGCTGGTATCTGGATCACTACCTGGAACTGGATTATTAAAAAACTTTCAAAAACTGAAACATGTAGGAATATGTTTTAATCTGCACTGAGTCCATGACCAAGTTATAGTCTAACACTGTCTTTTATTTTATTTATTATTGTTTATAAAAAATAAAACTTTTAGACTCATGGACCAAAAACCTGCTTTGAAAATTCACAATGAATCCACCTGAACAAACAACTCCACCATTTCTTTCAACACGCTGGCATTTCACATTTATAAACACCACAGTCTAAAAATGACTCAATTAAGATTCTAAATTTAAAYAAGGCGTAATTAACGTTAGAGTTTGTCTCGTGTTTATCCCAGCCGTTGCTAACTTTTATTAACCTTCACTTTTTCGCCTCAGAGTGATGCCAAAAGACAAACAGGCTTCTGAAAATGACCATGACTGAAGCCACAGAGCTGTGAAGGTGGTGACTGACTGATGCAATTAGATGCAAACGCTGACGGGACTCTCCGTGAGCACCTGCACTTCAGAACTGGACGTATCGAGTGTGCAACCCGGAGCTGAACTCGTGTCTTCACCTTTACACGATGATACATCTGTGCTACTTTAATTAATGCAAAAGCAGAAAGGAAATGAGACTCTGCAGTCCTTTTTTTTTGTTCCTGTCTCCCTGAGAAATAATTGCTGTTCTTCGCCTTTGTAGGTCAGCTTCATTTGTCCGCTCCCTATTCCCCGGTTCCCCAGCAGGGAAGCCATATTTGCAGCCCAGAGATGACAGAATAGTGCCGCAGCCACTTTACAGAGACATATGTGCTGCTGTGTGTGTATGTGCGTGTGTGTGTGTGTGTGTGTGTGTGTGTGTGTGTG